ACTAATAGTTGAACTGTGTTTTGAATCAGGTTAGTATTAGCTCGTTCAGTTAGTGACTTACTATATAAGGAAGCAATTAATAATAATAATTAATAATTAGTTAATAACGTACTCATTCCATTTATCAATTATATCTTGAATTGAGTTCAATATTTGTTTGAACAGGTGCCAGTGATCCACTGACCAGACAAACTTTGGATACTTCTTCTTCCCATGTAACTGATGAGGCTTAGGAGCCATCACTGTAATGTTAGTATCAGTCTTAGTATCAGTCTTAGAATCAGTGTTAGTATCAGTGTTAGCATCAGTGTTAATATCAGTGTTAGTATCAGCAGTGTTAGCAGTTAGTGTTGATTCCACAAGAGGTGATATTGGTTGTGTTGATTCTGCTCCAGTTATCTCAAGGCCAGTAGTACTGGCTGTGTTAAAATCCGATAATGATATTTCTGACTGTGACTCTAACTCAGAATCATCATCTGTTACTCTAAACAAATAACAAATAATTAATATAAATATTATCATTATTATAAATACTACAGTTTCATTATTATTATTATCATTATTTACTTTGATCTAGAAGCAGTTCTTGGTCTCTGCAAAGCTCTCACTGATAGAGGAGTGAGTGATGACTGACTGTCAGTTTTACCAGCTGGTGGCTCCCCACCTTCAACTGGTTTAACTGAAGATGACAAGTGCCTGTGGGTAGCTAGACCTTTCTTTACCCTCTACAAAAATAGATGACTAATAAATAATAATAGGGGCTCCTGACAATAATAATTTACTAATATTAGCATTATCATTATTATTTTAGCTTACAAATGAGTGAATGGTAGCAGCTAGCTGTGTCCATAGTCTCCATCCTTCTTCCTCTTCTTTCATAGCATACATCAATAGAGTATGGAACAACTGATAGAGCAATGACTGGAGACTGTCAGAATCTGTGATATAAAGAGGAGGATGAGCCAAGATGGAGGAAAGGGAGAGAGGTTTAATTATAATTATTGCACCTTCATTATCATTGCAAAACTTAAGTAACAACTCCTTCCAGTCAGCAATCTTGAGTACTGCCCTGCAAAGTAACATAAAGTATATCATTATTATTATTATTATTATTATTATTATTATTATTATTATTATTGTATATCTCTCTACTAACAGACAGTTCTTATTGTTTTGAGTACAAAGTGTATTGATGTATGTTAACAACTGAAGCTTCATTGAGTCTTCCTTTAGCAGACTGTCTTCATT